TTCTTAGGTTCGATGGTGTTTTTGTTGTTATCAGTGTGAAACTGTGGAGTTGGATTCTGGTCTTTAAGTTGTGTATGTGGAAAAAGAAAAAAAGGCTGTTTACAGATTTCCAGATTCCAGGAATATTTTTTTCTTAAACAGCTGTACCTTCTCCTCCTAAAGCAGTTCGTGCTGCCTTTTGCCTTCTGTCTCTATATTGGCTGTCAGCCTCCTGGTCATTGATTGGCTTCTTTAATTATTCATAAAAAAATACATTTTCCTCTGACAGCTGCCAGCTCATATGTCTTAGATTTCTCTGTTATTAAAGGAAAACCATGAATGTGCTTTCAAGCTACAACGTATCTCATAGTTTTTGGGAAAATAGAATATTTACTTGCAATAGAAATGAAGTCATTCTAGCTGAGGGCAGTCTGTAGCCATCAGTGTCACCATTGGGATTCAGATTAATTCACGGATACCAAGGTTGTTGCATCACTGCAGCAAGTTCATGGCTGACATCACACAGATGCAAAGGGGTTGTTTTGGAGCCGTCTTACATCATGGGTGGGAGCCCACAGCTGACAGTGTCACAATCTCTCTGGCTACACTAGTGTTGCCAGCGGTTGTTGTGGTGGTTGCAGACATTTAGTTTTAAATAGACAGCCAAAATCTGGGTTTTGTTGGTTTAACATTAAAAAAAATTAAAATTCAACGTGTGTGGGGAACACGTGCAGATCTCTGATGATAAAATGTAGATTTTTATCAACAAAATTTTGTATCAAAGCCCAGGTCTAGAGCTGTCTGCTTTTGTCGTAGTTAATGGGAATGAGAGCAGAAGCCCCTATTCCCATCACAACAGGATTAGTGGACTGATCCCATTAACATCTCTTCGTGAACTGGAATTCACCACCACCCAGCTGGTGTGAGTGCCAGCAACACTGCATACACCATACCTTGCACAGTGCATCTTTATGCATCCACTGATTATCCTCTGGAGACAAGATTTGTGTTACAGCTGAAGTTAAAAATGTGTGAACAGAGCCCTGCTAATGTTTTATGTTAGAGGAACATTCTTCTTTGAACGGGAAGAGTTTGCATTTAATGCTAAATGATGGAATTTGAAGCATAGTGTATCTCTAGTCACATTTAACATTGGATTTGCTGGCTTTCTCCAGAGAATACCAATTAAGATGGAAAAGGTTAGTGATCTGACTCTGTTCTGAGATTTCATTTTATATCTGTACTGTTGGCTTTTTTATCTTTCACAAAGAGCTTAGTTCCAAAGAATGCTTCCCCTTTGCCAAAATTCCACATGATCTTCCCTTCAAGGAAACACATCCATTTTTAGTAAACTAGGAGAGCCTTTTTTAAAAAAAAGTATTTCAGATGACAGTGATTTTAACCATGAAAGGTGGACACAAAATGTAATCCTAGTTCAAATTATAACAGCTGTATTTCATTCATATGATTATTGATAATTAAATTCAGTATTTGTGCTTTTAAGGGGGGAAGTAGTAATTTGTTTTTTGCAGTTTAAGATACGAGAAGCAGCAAGGGTGTGCACCTACATGTTAAAAAAAAATAACCTGCATCACCTCAATTACTTGTTGAAAAATATGAAAATTTAAATAATTTCTCACTACAACATCTGTTATTTTCTCTGAGAAATAGAAATCTTCACAGAAATTTTAGTTTACACAATAATTTGTACTGTAATACCTTTCTATTTTCTGGTTGTTGAAGTTCTTTCATGCACACATTAGCAGAAAAATTACCAAAACAAGTCTTAATTGAATAAAATAAGTCTTAATTAAATCAGGGTATTAATTGGTAGTTTAAATAAAATACCTTAGTTTTTTCCTTTACCTCACTTCCACTTTCTCTTTTGAAAAAACACCAGCTAGTGCTGTGCTGCTGGGCAACAAATATGTGAATAACCACTCAGTGGAATGTTTTCCTTATCTTCTGATCTTGTTATAGCTGTGCCTCTCATTCAGGTGTTTTTGAGGAAGATGATGGGAGAGAGGATGGAATTGCTGAATTGTTTCATGCAGTGACTGCTGTATTCTGCCCTATTTCTAGTCACATTTAAGGTCTACTTTTCTGGCATGGGGAGGATTCTGGAGAAACTGAACAAAATTTTAAAATGTCACTGAATCTTAGGGATGCAGTGTTCTGGACTTTGGGAAATTTAAGTACTTATTGAAAGTTTGGGGGGGACAAGGCAGGGATTGCAAATAACCAAAAGCAGTTCTTCAGTTTGCACATTCTGAGTTCACACTGTATTTTGTCATATGTTGCTTCTGTTTAATTCTCAACTCAATTCTCAACTCTTGTTTTCGCTTAGCTGTTCTTTTCCTGGTGCTTGCCTGTTTTTATGGTCCTGGCTGACCCTCCCTCTTGGGTCCCTGTTTGGGCACATAAAATCACAGATGCTGTGTATAGGACAGCATTCTCGTGGCCATCATGAGTAAAAATGCTTTAAACTTATTAACCAAACTTGTAACTGGATAGACCCATTTTGAATGATTTAAGAGACTATACTGCCACATCAAAATTCAGCTAATTTAATCTGTTTTCTGTTGAATGTCTATTTTTAAAAAAGAATGCCAAGTTTTTAAAATCACTGTAGAGTGAGAGAAGTGTGGAAAAACCTATTCATTGGTGCTAACCAGCTTTGGTGTGTCTCTCTTCTATCACACTCTGAGCTCATTTGTTGCTTAAAAAAGTGTATTTTCATTTCTTCACACCTAGTATTATTTTTGCAGGGAGTTATTTCTGTAGCAGTACTAAATCATGGTTCAGAATATGTGAAGTTCTTGACTGATTCATGCCTTATGGTCAGCACAATGTATAAAAAATAGATTTTGAATGTTCTTTGGTAAGGTAAAGTGAAACAAAAAGCAAATGAGAATTCTCATATTTGTGGTTAAACCCTTTCCAAAACAGAGTAGAAAGAAACTTTTTGTCACTTTTTTGCCAGAAAATAGGGCTCACTACTTGGGAAGCCCGTTTCTCTGGTAAAATGGGTGGAATTCAAACTGCCTTTGCCAGCACAGCTGTGTGAAGGAGGGATAAAGCTGTGAGCTGAGGGGTGCTCGTATGTTGTGAGAGAAGTGGTGGAATTCAGAAAATTTTACACCTTAAACATAAACCAGTGTTGTAATAATTCTTTAAATAGGTGGTTAAACATCCAGTCAATGTGTGAAATAAGTATTTTTTCTAAACTCTTGCTTATTTCTTGTCTTCTCTGAAATTATTTGCATTCTTCTCTCTTTCTTGCACATACAATTGTATTGTGAAACCTCTTAACAAGTTCTGTGGATGGCAGATAATTCCAGTGTGGTTAGCTGCACTTGGTAGCAATGTTTCAGGATGGCTTATGTTGGGACAGTATGATTGAAATCTCTCTTCTCCTATTACATTTTACAACAATGTTGGCACACAGAGCTCCCAGTAGGCATGTCGCAATTTTGGACACTACGTTGTAGCACAGCGCTAAAACTCTGCTTTAAATCTGCTGCAGCTCTACAGCTTGGAGGGGAGGGCTGGAGTGGCTGTCGTTTTCACTAAATCGTTAATTTCACTAATCGTTAATAAGCAATAGGGACCTTAGGACATGCTAGAGCACTCTGGGAGATAGCTAGTGCAGAATAAGTATTCACTGCTTAAATTCTCGGAAGAGTATGCTGTGTTCTGCAGGATATATGCAATTACTTTATTGACTCCTTTGTTATCTTTAGAGTCTTAAGCAGGTTCTGATTAGTCCAATTAATTTGCTGCTTACACTTAAGCTGGAGTTCAGTGAGTACTTTGAAATGCCAAGAATATTCTCTGCCACCAAAATAGGGAGTCTTCTGCCTGCACCAGCATTTTTCCCTGGTTCTGACATAAGGTTTGTGGGAGAGGTGATCAGAAAACCACTGTGTTTCTGATCAGCCTCTCTCGCACACTGGCAGTGCAAAGCACCCAGGACAAGCTGTAGAGGTAGGAAAATTCTTCTTTGGCAGTAGCAGGAAGCAGGATCCATCACAATGATCTTTCTTTGCACTGATGCATTTATCTGATGTTTTATCTGGATTAGCAAATGGTAAGATCAGAATGTTTATAGAATCTGTCTTTAGCAATCTGTCAGTGCAGGTTTTTCTTCACTGTTGGAAGAAAAGGGGAAAAAAGGGAAAAATGTTTTCTTTGTCACAAAAAGTAGAAAAGTAGGGCTAAGATATCAAACTGCTTTCTATCGTAAAATAATAAAACTATTTTAGATATGCAATGCAAACTTATTGCTGACTTCTATTATTTTGTTGTTTTAACTCCCACTATTAGAGCCATCGGAAATATTCATTTAAAGTGTTGTTTTTTTCAAAATCAAGTTTAGACAAGTTGAAGCTGAGGTCATGTTTGAGCCTGATACCAGCTGGAAAGAAGCACTTTGTGTTTGTGTATGGGGGGGTGTAATTTTTAGTTTATTTCTTTTTTTAAAAAATTTATTGGTGAACAGACAAGGGGTTTTGTTATGTTCCCCATGAGCTTTTTGTATTGGTGGATTAGAAGTTTCCATTACTTTCATGCTTTCTTACCTGTGTGCACCCTGCTGAACTTTATATCCAGCATAGTCCCTGCTGTACTGAGCTTTTGTCATAGCTGGAGGTTGGGTAATGCCTCTATCAGAGCTCAGAGCTGGGAGTGTCAGGAAGTGGGGAATGTAGGTGTGTGTCTGTGGGAACTGCCCTTTGGCATTTATAAGCAGCAGCTTTCCTTGATCATTAAGGAAAGAAGAACCCTTTGCAAGCATTATTTATCACAGTGCAGCTTGTGAAGGAGAGTAATGTTCATGGATATTTTGTGCCCATAGACTGGTAATTTGAACTGTCCAAGGAAAAATATTGATTCTTCAAGTATAAATGTTTGGTAGGTATTTTGGTTAAACTTCTTTAACCAAAACAACCTTGTCAAGCAAGGAACTTAGTCAAAGTTCTAAGGCAGCTTTACTGAATCTTTCTTTTTTTCCCTCCCTTCAGACTTGTCACGGAACAGACTGTCGGAGCTTCCAGCAGAAGCCTGTCACTTTGTCTCCCTTGAGACTCTTAATCTATACCAGAACTGCATTCGTTATATCCCAGAGGCTGTTTTGAACTTACAGTCTTTAACATTTCTAAATATCAGGTAAAAGTTGTCTTACAAATTTTTCTTTAGCATGAGTAGTCTAGGTTTATACATTTTAGTGCATCCATAAGTAATGCTAACTTGTTATGTTGTATATAATTTGATTAAAGCAACCTGAACCAGTCTTACCCACTTAGGTGGATCAGGGAATATGAGGATTAAGCAGCAGCTTGTAGAAGAGGAGTATGAAGGAAAAAAGCTAATTCCAGCTTGAAGGAATAAATAAATTCTAGTAGTTTCCATGTGAAATATCGTGGTAGAGCTTATGCATAGTCTTTGCAAAGCAGTTCTCAGCAGCTGAATAAGGCTTATGCAATATCCCTTTACCTTCACTGTACTGGTGGCTTTGGAAGAGCTTTCTCAAGCATTACAAGCAAATTGCTGCAACTTGGCCTCTTGATGAAATCCAAATGTGTACAGCATCTTCCATTTGTAGAGACATCCTTTAGTAGATGTGGAAAGTTTCTCTTCAGAAATTGGCAGAGATACTAATTAAAAACTCTCAGGCTATTTCTTTCTGCTGTTATAATCACACTAAATGGACAAAAGTATATTTCTTTATTTTCTTTTCTATTGATGTGAAAATTGTACAAATAGGTTGTGAATCAGATACTGATTTTCTAGTGCTGTATCTCTAGTAGGTACAGTACCATTATTATACTTAATCAGAAATACACTTTAAATATTCAGTGTCTCATTACTTTCTCTGTGGCATTTCATGTGTGCTGACCTGTAGTGCTACCCATGAGGAAAGCTTTTACACTCGATCCAAACATACTCCTTTGTGATAGAGCATGGCCAGTTATCAGAGGCACCTGAAAGGGCACAAAAACATCACATTCCTCCACACTGAGTTCAGAAGCCTCTGATCAGCCTTGATACTTGATATTCAGAGTTTGTTCACACATGACTAGATAAAACAAGTAATGAAGAACAGCCTCAGAGAGCTACTTTTGTAATAATTGCATGAAAACTGATTTGATCATCTAAATAGTGTGCTTTTTGTATGTGTCTTTCATTGTATGAATATTTCTCACTAGACTTGTGATTATTTTGTTTTCTTTCTGTCCAAAAGTCGAAACCAGCTTTCAACATTGCCAGTACACCTCTGTAGTCTACCACTAAAAGTTTTGATAGCAAGTAATAATAAGTTGGTTTCAATACCTGAAGAAATTGGACAGCTCAGACAGCTGACAGAGCTTGTGAGTATACACTTGATTTCCAGCTATTATTATTCTGCTCTTGGCCTAAGGATGATCTGTTTCTGCCACAGTGTCTCTCTAACTGTGTTTGGTATTGTATAAAGGTGTTAGAAAAGAGTTTCAAATACTCAGATTTTAAAAGACTTCTATGTGAGGGAAAGATGCACTGGAGAGCAAATGATCCATGTCAATTTAAATGCCTTCTCTATTCTAGAAAGGAAGGCCTGGTGGAATTAGAGTTCTTGATATGTTTGTTTCTGGCAGAAAGCTTTTATATAGCAATATTTGCTGTCTGAAATACTGTGGAGTAACTTGAAATAAATTTCTATAAATCTGAATGCTTAATCTTTTAAAGGTTTTATTTCCCCTTGTGTTTAAATGAGAACAATGCTTCATATCAGCAGTGAGATTGAATGAGTATATGGATCTGAGGTGTTAGAGAAGTAGCTGCCTTTTTCTTTCACTCCCTAAACAGAGCTGCATATTTTAATTAACAGGCACTCAGACAGTGGTAACTCGTCCTTTGCTCTTCTTTGTAGGATGTGAGCTGTAATGAAATACAGACAATACCTCCACAGATTGGCAATTTGGAATCCTTGCGAGACCTAAATGTCAGAAGAAATAATTTGGTGCGTTTACCTGAAGGTGAGAGAACGGCTGTCAGTTATAACAGCAGAAACTTCAAACTTCTCTATTTTCATTCCCTTTTTTTCCTCTGAGAGCTGAAAGCAGCTAGTTGTTTTGTGAAACACATATTTTTATACTTTTGTTTTTTCTCACACTCTTTTAACCTTCTGAATTGTATCTTTGTTTTCTATCTCCAGAGCTTGCTGAGCTGCCTTTGATTCGATTAGATTTCTCCTGCAATAAAATAACAACAATACCAGTTTGTTATAGGAACCTCAGACATCTTCAAACCATCATGTTAGAAAACAACCCTCTCCAGTCCCCCCCTGCACAGGTATACTGCAGCTACAAAATCAGAAAACTAGTTCAGCTAGCAAGGGCAGAACTAAGTCATAAATTGAAGGATTATATTATGTATTTGTTATTTAAAGCAAGAGAACTTCAAATAAATTCTGTTGTCCGTAAGTGTTAAATATGCAGGACAGCTTGAAAAATCCCTTTACTGTATTCATAGTTTCTGGTGTGGAGTATTAAAAAAATTCTGTTAATGTTGGCTTGAATATTTCTGCTTTCAGCATAGGAGAGAGGAAGCTCTGTTAGGCAAGACTTGATTTTCTGCCACTCAAATGTCAAAATTTTGACTGAGGCCTCAGTGATGCAGGTTGCTGGTCCACTTTCCAGCAGACTACTTAAATTGGCCTTTGAGCTAGAAACTGCAATATTTTTAGTGACTGATTTGATTTTCAATGTGGGTCTATGAGCTTCTGAGTATTACAGGTTCTACTGTGAGCTGCTGCCTCAGAGTCAAGAGGGGCACTTGATGAAACTTGCAGTTTCATTGGGGTTTTGCTTTCCTTGTGAAAGCAGAGACAGCTGTTACTGCCTTCATTGACTATAAATTTGAGCTGGCTTTGGCAGTCTGCCACTGCCATTCAAATCTGGGTAAGGGTGGGATGCATCTGTTCTGATGCCAAGGGTATAAATTCTAGTACTTGTAAATGCTTGTGTCTTGTTTGCATGATGAAATTTCAGCATCCAGCTTACAGAGTTGCCTGCAGACCAGATGTACTTGGAAGACAGCTTCCATTTGTCTATTACAGTCATCCCATGATACTCCACTATAGCTGTTCCTCTAAAATGCAGTGAGCTTGGAATAAAACATACATTGGTTGATGTAAATGTGCTCATTTATTATTATTCTCAACTGCATCTTGAATGTCTGTAGTGGACTTTGAAAATGCACTGTCAAATCATACTTATTTTATTTTTTTTTTTTCAGATATGTATAAAAGGAAAAATTCATATATTTAAATACCTGAACATAGAAGCATGCAAGATAGTTCCAGACTTGCCTGATTATGATAGGAGACCCATGGGATTTGGATCATGGTAAGTTTTGCACAAGCCACGTTCCCAGTTTTAATAGCATTCAGGAAAATTTTGTCAGTCCACCCTGAGTTTATTAAAAAAAGAGTCAAGGATTGTTCTTTGGCAAGTGCATTGAGGTGGCTTTGAAAATATTGTTTATGGTATTTCATGATGCATTATAACATGGTACCAGTGTGTGAGAAGTGGTTCAGGATATGACCTGGGCAGTGTGATGTGAAAGGCAGTGTCAGAGCTGATATGCAGTGAAAAGAGAGTAATAATAAACAATACAGGGGGCATGCTCCCATGTTGTTAACCTGTGTGTTTAGTTTACAGGATCTTAAAATTTTCCACAGACTTACTGAATCATATCCCAGCTGTGATTTTTAACCTTTTGTACAGAATTTTACAATGGCTGTGCTCAAACTGCAGGTGTAAATGCTGATCTTCACCCTGTTAGTAAACTGTTATTTTTGGCAAGCTTTCACTTGGCACTGCTGCTTGGCATTGTAACACAAATATTGGAACAGTCAGCCATATCAGCTACTCAATTAAGATGTCTAGCAAAAAGCAGGAGTTAAGATTTATTTCCGTTACATGGTACAGGAGTCAGTGAAGTATGAAACTGAATATATATAAAAATTACTTCAGTCATCTTGGAAGGTAGTAATAACACGTGGAGGATTAAGTTGCTGAAGTATGAACTGCTGCCTTAGCAGCAATAGAACACAAATCAGGGCGCTGCACAATAAATCATCATGAGTCAGATTTATGAAAGAAGAATTTGCATGAGGGACTGACAGAGTGATTCCTCATCAGCACTGAATGTCATAAATTACTGTTCTAGATGAGGTCAACATATGAGCATGTCAAGGGTTAATCGATTTCCAGTACAAGGTGGTGCAGATGGTTTCTGCATAATACTGAAGATATGTCCTTTTTCTGGAAGGAAAAGGCCCTAAATGAGAAAATGTCATGATCTGTTTAGCTCTAACATAGTTTGTTAATTTTTGAGAGAAATTCAAAATCAAGCTGTATGCTTTTACTGATTGTTGTGTGTAGTCGTATATTGCTCTGGAAATTTTCATAAATTGCTTTCATGAAATGAGAAGAATTAATATATTTTAATCATAGCTTGGAATTGTAAGTGTAAAAATAAGGGCAGAAGGATGAAGGAACTAGTTGAGGATGCTTTGTTTAGAATTTTTACCAGACTAAGCAGTATGAAATGAGCTTCAGCTGGCTTTTCTTTAGCTGTATTTCTGTACCCAAGAGGAGATAAGAGTTAATGCTAGAATTATTTGTTGTTACTGTGCTGTTTAGGGCGTTTAGTGTTGCAGGTGATTCTTTCCATCTTCATGTACGTATGAAAGAACTGTCTATGAAGCAGAGCACGTATTAGGAGAAAATTGTAGAATGACCCAGTGGAAGAGAGAATTCCCAATTATATTTTTATGTAATTTGGGATGAAAGAAATAAAATCCTTCAGCTGTGATACTGTTAGTATTTCCAGGCAAGGCACAAGAACTTTGTGTTTGTAATCTTAAAAGGTGACCAATAGAACTAAGGTACCAGTCGGTCCACGTAGACTTCGTTGCTGGTTTATCTGATCAGCTTGGTGTAATACCATGCAGGTTGAGAGTCTTAAGTGGTAGAGACTCTTAAAGTTTAAGGAAGTTTGTGTCATGCTGTCAGTTCACTCTTGATCAAACATTTTTAATAGCAAGGCTATTGATACTTCTAATAAAACAAGATACTCTGAAATATCATGGCAGTAAGTGTGGGTTGGAGGTTCTAGCACACCTAATTGACTGTTTTAGCCTTGTCAGTTTCCATCAAACTGTTTAACCAGAAACCGTATGTTTCAGTCCTTTGCTAAGCATAAGTTATGTGAAATTATTCTTGCTGCAAGTCTGTTCAGCTGCAACAAGCCCGTCTCATTTGCAACAGTGAAACTCAGAGCATCTCAGGTTGGTGCTGGAGGGGATGAGATTGAGAGGAGGCAGATCTGTGGAAGCTGTGTAGCAGTTGTTGGCAGACTGGCATAGTCTGGAACTTGAAGCTTTAAAATACCAAGTACTCACAGGTGAACCATTGTAGTGAATATTCTGGGACTTGGGCAACTGTTCTGGCTTACAGGAGGTAAAGATGTAGCTTTTAGTGTGACTTGGAAATGGCAGCAAGTATTGTCTTTCATTGTTGGTTTTAGCAGGCATTTGGCTTCTCATCCTTTGATTTCATGCCTTACACAGCTTCCTATAAGCTGTAGCTGCCCCAAAATGCTATGATCTGTTCAAATTCCTAGTGGTTGTTCCTTGTGGCTTGTTGGTCAGGGAGGAATAAAAACCTTAATCTCAGCTGATTTTAGGATGGCTGCTGTATGATTATAAATGTGTAAAGTGTGTAGCATTGGATAGGTGGGTTTAGTTGTGAGAGTCAGGAAGACAGAAAGCAGCTTTCTCAGTAAAAAGGAGAAGTCCTGGGCACAGTGTTAACATATTTTTGAGCTTCCAGCTAATTTTAGTGTTAAATGTAAAGCTCTTCAAATTCTCCAATTGAAAAGGGAGGCTAAAAGAAAATTTGTATCAAAACACTTCCTCATTTTTGAGCTCCTTAATTTGCAGTAATTGTTCAGTTTACAACAGGGTGCTCAGGAGATGCTGAAAATATTGATTAATTTAAAATGGAATTATACTGCAAATCAATATTTTTTTGACCCGTATTTTAAAAATATATATAAGTTCTATGAACTTTTAGTAAAATTATAGTTCTACTGTCAGTTACTCAAATTAGTAACTTTCTTTAACTACATTGGCTGACTTCATGGTCGTTGTTTTTTCTTCCCACCCAGAAGAAGGGAGGTTTATTATGCAGATGATCTTTCTGTTCAAATACAGGGCTGTAAAAGTGGAACTTCTCTGAGTTAATCAAAACTCCATGCAGATGCAAGAGCTTGTCTTTTAGTCTACGTCTGTATAGAAACAGATGCACAGCTTAATGTTTCTCATCTGTAGCCTCCATCCCTCCTGGTACTTCTTTGCTGTTTCATGTCTACCTGAAAACTAAAATAGACTTGATAGTAGTCTGTCAGTTTTCTATGATGATGATAATAATAATAATAGTAATAATTTGAAAATAAGTGTTTCCTGAAAGTGGAATTTCAGAGAGAGCAGCAACTTGAGAGCAATGTCAGTGAGAAAATGACCTGCAATTTAGTTACGATGGGGTGAAGCAATTAGCTTTCTGAAATTCATTCTTCCTTGTGCATTATGTAGTAATTACTGCTGCAGTTCTCCCTGGGGCATCGAGTACCAGTAGGACAGTTGAGCCATTGTGAAATGCCATCTGCAGTGGATCAGACAAGTCCCATTGTCTCTTTTACTGTAGCTATCTGCAGCAGTTGCCAGAGTTGACATCTGTGATGGCTGTACTGCTGAATTACATAGTTTCTAAGCCTAGAAATTTAAAGAACTGTATGGCTGTTTGGTTATATGTGTTGTAACACTGGGCGCATGTCTAATGCCTTTGTCTAGACATGTCATTGACAAAGCTCTCTAAATGAAAACTGTACTTCTACAGTTATTATATTATCTGAAATACTGTTCAGCTTACTGCAGTTTCTTATGTAATTATGACACAGAAGACATTGACGTAACACATGCTGCATAGTTTTGAGTAGAAGTGGTATATTCTTTATTTTTAATGTTTTTGTACACATTTATGCTTATTTATGTAAAAGTTTGTTTGACGGTGTTTTTCAACCGAAACACGTGAGTAGTAGAAAATGAAAGTTTGATTTGCTAAACAGAGAAACACGAGACCACTTTGCAGTTTGCTTTGTCATAATTTCTCTTAGGGAAATGTTTGAAGAGTGGATCTATCCTTTGAATCAGCTTAACTGTGAAGGCCAGTGGCAGGTGACAGCTGACTGGCAAGGCTGGTGAGCTGTCAGCATATGCCTCCTGCTCTACTGTAGCAAGTGCAGTGTGAGGTTTTCAGACTTGCTCAACACACTGCAAGTGTGCTTGGTGGCTTATTCTGCTTTTGTTCTGTAATAGCTGAGAATCTTTTGGTGGTGTTTCTATCACAGTAACTGAAACTGTGTGTTTGACAGCCACGAGGAACTCTATTCCAGTCGTCCGTATGGAGCACTCGATTCTGGTTTCAATAGCGTGGACAGCGGAGACAAAAGGTGGTCAGGGAATGAAGTAAGTGTTGCAGCTTTATTTTTGTTGAGTGCAGTATTGTACAGGAAAGAGAACTAAATGTATGCATCTGGAAGCACATTACATAGGTAACATGCATGTGCTGGTGTGCAGGATGCCTTGAGGCAGGCAGTATTATGTTTTATTGGAGAAAAAACAAGGTTAATTTTATATGGGACAGACCCCAAGTTGGAAGTATTAACAAAAATTTATAAAACAGAGAGATTATTTATAAAAATGAGAGATTAATTTACTGGAGCATAGAAAATTAGAAGAATAGGGTTCCTCATTTGAAAAACTTTGTAACAGTACCATATTACAATGCTGAGTCAACAGTAATTATTCATGAAAAGTTGTTTCCATAAAATAAATCTGAACATGAAAATTCAGCTTTGGAAATCAGCTGGAAATTTTGTCTTCTTTGTTTAAAATGTTAAAATCTGTTTGCTATTTAGAAGCAGGAAAATAGGATCTTTTAGCAAAAAGATTGTCAATTATTATTGCCAGGAAGAAGTTCCCTTTTCCTCTTGGGGCAACTAGAAAATAGCCAAGACGTAAAGTGTCACAGTGAGCTGTACTCCATACTTGCACTCTTAATTTGATTTTAGAGAAGGTGCTAGGATTTCCTGTCCTGGGACATTTTCAGTCATGTTCAGTTACTGCATTCAAACTGTAGGCAGCTGGTTTCTAAACAAAGCTCAACTATATGTTTTTTTTAAATCAATACATTATAGCTGTATTTTGCTTTGCATTACTGTTTTGTGGTTGTAAAACAGGGCAATTGAAGTACAAATCAAGAAGTAATAGATTACAAAATTATGTTTCTGAAGAAAAATGTTTCCAGACTTCACTGTTTGTTTTCCAAAGCCAACAGATGAGTTCTCAGATCTCCCGTTGCGTGTGGCAGAGATCACCAAAGAACAGAGACTGAGGAGAGAAAGTCAGTACCAAGAAAACAGAGGGGGTGCAGTTTTAACTAATGGTGGAGGTAAGTAGTGACCTTTGGCTAACAGTATTTATTATCATCATTATAAAAGTTCCAGAATGTTTCCTATAGATAGTAGCTTGTTTAAAGAGGAAAGAAGCCCAAAACGTCTAGGTGGAATTACACAAAAACAGTGTTGTGGAAACTGTAAAACTACTGTTGTTTTAAGGATGTTAAAGGCAAAATCAAATAGCAGAATTGGTATTTTCTTGAAAACTTTGTCAGCTTTTGCCTATATCCTATGTTAAAGTCTCCAACTGTCTCAACTGGTATTTTGGAATATTGAATTTCAGTGCATGGAGTTTTGCTGTTTGAACTTCTGGGGAAAATTTACTGCTGTAGTAAATTGTCAGTGCTCTGTGCTGACTGCTGTCAGAACAGGATGAGCAGTTTTGTCAGGGAATTTTATATTTCTGACTAGTACAAGTGTCTCATTCCAGTGTGGGATTTTAATCCGAATTTATCATCCAGGAGGGCTGTTTTTTGTGAGTGGCAGTGCTTTGTTGAACTCTCTCAATTGGTGTCCTGCAGTCATACAGGATCACCTTCATAGTTCAAGAGGTGATCGTGCTTTCCATGTTTCTTGATCTCCACAGTTGTCCTTCCTTTTAACTTCCAGTAATCTGCTTCTATCAATGTCTCCTTTTGTTTATATACCTTAATTTTAAGTCTTTCAGGTTTGTTTTTTCAATCATTCCTTCTTCTCCATTGTTTTCCATCACTTATTAGATCTCATCTGCATATACTTTGATTGATTCTTCTTTCTCAGCTGCTCCCTGTTTTTCATTTTCCCTCATGGCTACTGTTCATTTTTTCTAAGTGTTGCTGTTCTCAGCTACATCTAATCTCCTGTGCCCAGCTCCCACTTTTTTCTTCTCTCTTCCCTCCTCCTCCCCATCTTTATCTTTTGCCATCTTCTTGGTCTTAGTCTTATGTGCCACAATTTTTTGTTTTCTCTGCCACCTTCTAGAAATACCTGAAACTCTTTAGTTGTCTCACGCTCTTTCACACATTAATGGGGAAAAAATTCAGTTCAAACAGTTAAATTCTGGCAGTTAAAGGAATTGAAGACGTGGTGTCATGGGGAGCTCTGGGCAGCCTTAATAACAGGTTGTGCTGCCAGCTCTGCCTCCAAGACTAACTTTATTTTGTTCTTTGGGTTTTGTACACCAGGGATTTCAAAATGCCTAGCAGGCTTTTAAGCTGGAGCATGATGGAGGTCTATCTGAGAGGGGCACAAACCATAGCATGTGGCTATCAGAGATCCAGATGATTTGCAGTTTTGTGTTCCGAAGACAAATACTAGTGTCTTTCACCTTCTTCTGTATTACTATTGTTATTATCATCATCATTATTTAATAAGCAAGCCTGGAAAGAAGGGGAGTTTGGGGTTTTTTTAAGATTTGAAACTGAGATGGAGATTTAATGAAGCTACAGTGTACAGGAATGTAGTTTTGGATGGTTGTAGTAGCAGAGGGGGTGGCTTTGGCAGTAACAGTTGCTAGATTGTGTGGTGAGGCAAAGAGAAGTCTGTTTCAGACAAGCAGGAAAGGGGCGGGGGAGTGAAGAAGAATGTCTGGAAGAATCTGGAGCAAGTTTGGGGAGAGTTTTAAGAATAAAAGAAAGCTCTAGTGCACTGAAAGGGAACTTACGCTTTCCCCTGCATCCCCAGTGCAGTATTTTTCACCAGAGGCATTTGCTCAATGTCATGACTCTCAGAATCCCTGGGCAGAATGTGGAAAAGCAGTGACAAGTGAAAAAATTGCCCTACATAATATCTCCACACAAAGGAAAATCAATACCAGCCAAACCGTGCTGTTTCTTGCTCTCATTTCAGTGATTCCTAATTTATTTTTTCATTCTTATTTTAAAATATAATTGCAGGTGCCTTATATTGTTTTAGAGGGATTTTGTTGTTTTCTGTAGTGTTGTTCATTATTTCCACATACACGTCACATATTTATTGTATTTGCACTCAGATAACTTAGACATGCTGCTCTGTTTTGTTGTAATACTAGTAGAAGGATCTGTCCATTCCGATTTTTCTGACAGAGAACCAAGAGAAAGTATCCCAAACTGTACACAGGTCATTACACAGTCTTGATAAAAGCTGAAAGATTTTGATATATAGTTTTTGAAAAGGAAATCACAGTATTTGCTTTTTCAGTCACTGCAAAAGTATCTGTAACCAGCAGTATAAAACTGCTTCCTTGTTGCTTTTTAAAAGGCATAAATTTCATCATTATTTCAAAATTTGTTTATCTAATGTTAGTGGGCCTGGCAAAATCCAGGAGCTTTCAGGCTGAGCTTTCCCAGATGGCAGAAAAAGCAGGGCCTTAGTTCCTGACCTTGCTGCATTGTTGGGTTTTTTCCTCTCTCATGGCTTACCTAATTGTGTGTGTTTTCTCTGTGTATGTTTGTCAAGTGGAACATGATCTCGATCAGATCGACTACATTGACAGCTGTGCCACGGAGGAGGAGGAGGAAGAGGTGAGGCAGCCCAAGTGCCTGGACTCAGACAGCCTCAGCTCCCAGTTCATGGCATACATAGACCAGCGGCGGATCTCCAATGAGGTGGTGCTTTTACTGCATTTCTTCACTTCACACACCCCAGCAAAGCCTTGTGAAAACTCTCCCCAGTTAAGTCATTTGGATGTTACACTTCTGGAGAGAGTCCTCAGAAACTGAACCTACAGAAGCAGAGTTTTAGCAACATCATGTTTCCTTCTGTGTTCTGTCAGTCTTAATTAATACCTATGTACAATTCAGTGGCTCACTGTACAGACTACAGGAATAACTTGTCTGAAAAAAATCTTTGTGGCTCCTCTGCTTAAACAGTAACTATGGTGCCGTGATTCAGATGTGTCCTTTAAAAGCTCCGCGTGTTTTGAAGCAGAAAGATATTTGCTATTTGAAGAAAGGAAAAAAAAAAAAGTGGATCTTTAGCTTTTATGTAGGAGCTTGGTCCCTATCTTGTCAGCTTCATAGTACTGTGTTTAAAATCAGTCACACAGATATGAGAGATGCATTCATTTTGCAAAGCTCACAAATTCAACATCAGATCACAGAAACTGAAGCGCAGACACTAGAGCAGAACTCAGAAAATTCAACTGTAGGCAATGCAACCTAAGGACTCCTTGCTGTAGGTGGGGAAAAGTCAGCTCACAACAGCTATTTCTTGGGGTCTGTCTAGTCTTAAAAATTCAACTGCTTATAGCTGAATGAGTAGCTTCTCTAAAAAGTCCAAAATACTACTTAAGAAGGCTGACTGCAATATAGCAGCATGCATGCAGGCATGAGTGAAAATTAGCAAGTTAATCTTGAAAAGTTTCTATTTTCTTGCGTTAATGGGTGTCAGTGGAAGTTTTTGAATAACACCCAAGTCAATATGTCTCTGTTCCCAATAGGATAAATTATTTCATTGCTCAAATTAAACCTAAAGTCTTGTTATTAATCCCGTGTTTTGCTTTCTTAGGTCTTCTGGGACCTGTCTTTAGAATATCATAAGACCATCAGCTCCTTTGTTCTCTTTTTCTAAGAATCCAGTCTTCACTGCTGTACACTTGTAGAGTTAAACTCCAAAGAATGTATTTACATTTCAGTACAAACTTCATACCTAGATTAACTTGTCTGCATGATTCTTAATACTGAAGGTTTGAAACTCCTGAAGTTATCAGCAGGCATATTTAATCTTGAAACTATTATTGATTTAAATGTGATAAAAAAATAAGAGTGAGCTTGCTTGGTTGAAAATTAACATCTGTAACTTGTAGTTTGTGCTTCTCAGATGTCTTAAATACCAGTAGTTACAGACGTAGCTCTGCAAAGAGACTGTTTGGCATTAATGTACAGTCTTTTGTGTTTTTCTGCTTAGAGCTCACCAGTAAAACCTGTATCCGTCAGAGAATTTCAGAGAGCAGAGGATACAAGACGACATTTACATCAAAACAGGTAAGAATTACTGTGTTAACAGTAATTTTATCCAGAATTTCATGATGAATGTAGAGTATATATTTACTGAACGTGTTTATAAAATGGCATTGTTTTCTGTTGCTTCGTCGGGAGTGTGTATGGCACTTTTTTGATAAGTTACTGCTCCAAATTAGGAATTGGAATTCTAATAATGGCAGTGAGCAAAAGGCATAACTGTTCTATGCCAATGCTTGACTTAAAATCAGTTGGTTAAAGAAGTCTCCGTAATTAAAGTACATATTTTTAAACTGATTTAATATCTGCTTTTTGTGGTTTGATTAAATCTCATTTGTGCTTTGATTAAATAGTTGATTTAAGCTGTATTACATAGAGAACAAAAGGGATAAAGGTACTTGCAGGAAGGATAGAGATACTATGGAATATCTGATGTGCCACGAGGACACATTCTTGGTTGACTCCTGCTGGTTTTGGTGTTGTCGAAGATTAATTTATTTTAAAAAGTATCTTTCTGGCCATAATCATGAGCTTACATCAGCAGAAGGGATAGAATGGAAATCAATTCTGAAAACGAGTTGCTTATTTTAATGAAGTATGCCCATGCTCTTTAATGATTACTTGGCTTATTGGAGAGAATGCTTATGTGTAAAATAAAGCTCAGAACTGGACAGAGTATCAGTGAGGGGTGGTTAGGTTTCTGAAAGGAATTTTGGATGTCTAGTTAAAAGAAAAGTAAATAAGCAAATAAAAGATAAAAAGCAAATTCTTGCAAATGAAAATTGAGAGAAAGTTTATTATACTATTGAGGCATTTCAGTGTTCTGTGGAGTGAAAGTGAATTTGCAGGGACTCAACAGAAAACATGGCCAGTTGTACTTGGAATGTTTGGGGGGGAGGGCAGGGGAGTGGTGGAAAAGACAACTGGTAGTCCTACCTATGTCATTACTTATGCTGTCAGTAGAAACCAGTTTTTAATGGATTCTAAAATGGTACTGAGAGAAGAAATGAAACCAAGATTAGTGTGTAAATTTTCCCAGCATTTTGTCAGCATTTTAATAGGCATTCTGAAACATGGAGAAAATATGCAGATACAGTAGCTGTACTGATACAAGAGAGGGTCACTATTTCAGCATGTCAGCATTCCTTACTCTGTCCACAAGTCAGGTATAAAGTGATGTAGCAATTCTGCCATGTTCTCCACCAAAAAAGTGAGTGCTCTTGGTTTGAAAGATTGATTTTTTGCTTGTTTGTTTACTTACTTTTTTATTTGAACATTTGTTCAAATGTCAACATGGAAATAATTAGACTTTACCAACACTGTTTTCCATGATAAATCCGAAGGAAATAGGAGAAGGCTGGTTAGCTGGGGAGAGCTGCTGTTTACACAGACAGATGTTAATGATACAGGAAGTTGTAGTTCAGTAAGGTATCCAGTGATTTCAAAACTTAACTTAAGGATAGCAGCAGATCTCCATGCAGAAGTAGTTAATCAGCGATCTGAATGAATTGTAGCTTACTGTGCTGCAGCAGAGTGAAATTTTTAAGGCACTAAAACCAGAACATGTTACTGCCTTCAAAATTGTGTAAAAACAGACATATGACAATGAGTAATTTTTTGTATTTTAAACTTGTATTAGTCAAATATTTTATTTTGTGGCAACCACAAGCTGTCAAATGCTTCCACAGTTATTCTGTGCAAATGCCTTGGCAGGCAGCCTCTTCTTTCTTTTTTTTTTTTCTTTTTTTTTTT